CTGAGCTGAAACCTAGAGTCAGACGCTCAACCGACTGCGACTGCGCCACCCAGGTGCGCCCCCCCCCCCCCGCCTCATTTTAGCCAGCGCAGCCAAAAGAGGCCAAGGGATCCAGCTCAACTCTCGTGGGGTACCATCTACTGAGTGTTGAGTCCCAGAGGTCATTTTTACTTCTCACAACATCTGCAGCTGCAGCTCAGGGGGAACGGCACAGCCACCCAGGCACCAAAGGTTGGCTGACCATTCCGGGAAGCCATGCAGGCCCCCCCCCCCCCCCCCACCATGGTCCCTGGGTAGGTACCGAGTACTCAGTAAGGGCTTTGCAAAGGAGCTGAGGGCCTGGGCCACCTTGGTCATGGTCACAGAGGAAGAAGATCGTCAGTGCTTATACAGCTAGGAATCTCATATGCATCTCTTTGAAAGGATGTCCCTTTCCCTTCGTGCTTCCTTTCCCCCAGACAATGCCTGTACCATATTTCAGTGAGTCAGGATCCATCGAGCAAATCCTATTGCTGCCAGCACGGTGTTAGGGGTTCCCAAGCCCACCCTTGGGTTTGTTAATGTGCTATGAAGACGCACAGGGCCCAGAATTGGTCATACTCACGCCTAAGATGTATTACAGCTAAAGGACACAGAGCAAAATCAGCCCAGGGTAAAGGCACATGGTGCCTACAAGAGGGCAAGGGTCTTCTCCTGGGGAGGTGGGGGGGGGGTTCACATAGGATATGCTAATTTCCTCCAGCAAGGGGTTGCGGAATGTCGTCTACAAAGGAACCTTTCCAGAACCTCAGGCACGCAGGTTTTTACTGGGGGCTGGTCCCATATGCACCTGTTGCACAGCACGTACCCAAATCCCAGACTCCCAGAAGGAAAGCACATGTTCACCATAAAGCACATGCCTTGTACAAATAGTTTATACCCAAGGAACCACTCCTGTCATTTCTGGGGACGGTGGGGACCTTCCTGAAATCCGAGTTTCTCAGTGCCAGCCAAGGCTCAACCTTGCAAGCCGGCCTTTCTATGAACAGCACCCTCAAGCTTGCTGTGTCCATTCCTTTCTGCACACCAGGGCGCAGTGGAGGATGAGTCTTAAGGGCCCATCTGAAGAGAGGGCGCCATGAGCACGGTCTCTAGAACCCAGCTCCCAGCTCAGGTTGGACAGAAGGTGGCAACTCGGGAGCAAAGAGCAGAGATGGCCATACTCAGCCACTGCTGACATGTTATCCCACCCTGCCCAGCCTGAGAAGGAGAATCTAGGAGGGAATACAGGGGCTCCAGAGACGGGGCCCTGTGCGTTCTCCCTCCCCCGTTTCGGCCTGCTGCTGGAGGAAGCACGCAGGAGTGTATCCAGAGTGTGACTGAGATCTGCAGTGTTTCTGGAAGCAAAGTCCAGGGGGTAGGACAGAACCACCAGCCTTGGCCAGTTGAGCCAGACACTTGCCTTCAGCACTCTGAGGCTGCTGATAACCTGCTCCCTTGATTTGGTAAACATTGACTATGTGCCTAGGACACCAGCCAGGCCAGGCTCCAGGAGTGGGGGTTCGAGTTGGCGACTGTGAACAAGGGGACAGGATGTTCCTTTTCACCTGGGAGGCTGAGAGGGCTGCACCGAGCCCTTCTCCCCTGGTGGAACCTTCTGGCCTGAGAGCTCCATTCTGGGCTACCTCTATGCCAGTTTTCTCAACTGGAAACCTAGACCCAGGGGGCGGAGGTGGACATTGAGGGCAGGCTGGCAATGCAACCCCAGGAGGGGCAGAATAAGGAGGTGGGACTACCTGGCCAGCCTCCAGACTTGCCCAGAAAACAGAAGAGAGAAGCTGGGAAAAGTTGTCTGGACTGGTGGAATGAGATCCAACTTCAGAAGCAAATAGGCCAGGGTTTGGGTTTCTCTTCCTCCCAGCTCCGGGGCTTTAGTCTCCCCATCGTCCGGTGGGAACATCAACATCTCTGATGTGTAGAGAAGGCAGTGCAGCAATTAGAAAGGTGGTCTTGGAGTCAGAATAACCCGGTTCACATTCCAGCCCTACTATGCCTCTTGCTAACTGTGTGGCCCGGAAAAGTTCTCGAACCATCCTGGGCCCTACCTCCAGGGCTGCTGGCTAAAGCTGACCCATGGCAGAGCTTAGCTGAACCTCAAACCTGGGGCTGGGGAGTGCCGGCTGGGCCCCCTGGGGAGAAGAGGGGGCCTGGCAGGGTTTGCTGAGGAAGGCAGAAATGGGGGAGTCTCCTCCCAGATAAGTCCCTCTCTGCTCCCTGGTGGGAGGGAAAGGCATGGGAGGGAAGAAAGAAGGAAAGGAGAGAGTGGCCTCAGGCACTTTCTTGCTGTTTGTTACTTTTCTCATCTGAAATATGGTAATGTTGGACCGAACGATCCTTGAAGTCATTACTAGACATGCTGATCTGTTTTTCCGTATTAAAAAAAAAAAAAAGGGCTGGTGCAGGACGATTTAGGAACCCAAGTGATGCAAGAGGGCAGGGGGTCATAACATAGTCATGGGTCAAGACTGTGAGCATCAGAGACTGGAAAAAGTTTCCAGGCAATGATGACAGTTGAAAAGTCAGTTCCCTGGAAAGAGGGCAAGATGGCTCAGCACCAGAGTTTTGGGGGACTGGGGTGAAGCAAGCGGCAGGGGGTTGTCCTGGAACCTTCAGGTGAATGCCATGGCTGGCCAGCAGTCAGTCACCATTCCATCTTTTAGGAATGTGAGACCTGAGGACTCAGGTATGGGGTTGCTGGGAGAGCCCTGGCATTCCTCCCAGAGCCATCTGCTCTCCCTTCCCACCACCCTGCAGATACTAAGAACCTGGGGCAGAGGGCAGGGCCATAACCTCCTTCCCATTACTCAGGCTGTGGCAACCCCAAGGCCCCCTGTTTTCCATCAGTTGCCCAAAGCCCTAAAGAGACAAGTAATCATAACCAACATTAACAGAGAATTCCTATGTGCTGCGCTCTACTCCAAAGACTTATGCTTCATCTCACTTAATCCCAATCATACTATTATTGCTTCCATTTTACACATTTTACAACTCCTCTGAGACTGAGGCTCAGAGGGGTTCCGTGACTCTCCGTGACTCTCCCAAGTCACATAGTATGTAGCAGGTCCAGGATTCAAACCCCCATACCCATGCCTCTAACCACTATGGAGTACAACCCTTTTACCTAATTATAAACCACATGCTCGCTATGCAAACAGGGCTTCAGGACCAGTCCCTAATTCCCCGTCAAATTTTCCCTAAACAAGAATTCCACAGTCACCACTGCACTCAGTCTGGCCTTGACTTCTGAACTTTGGATTCTGGAGGGCAGAGATCATAGTCCCAACCTGGGGTCCTGGAGTGTGCCCTTGGCTCTGTGCCTTGGCTCTGCCCCACTGACCAGTGGCCTTGGGTAGTCACTCCCCTTCTCTGGGCCTGACAATATGACCCTGTCCACTGAGGCTGCAGCCGGATCAGAGACTCCCAAGCCTAGGAGCTTCCAGGGTTGGATCAGCTTCCGCCCGCCCCTAGGAAGGCCAGGAGGCCAGGGGCGGGATCTGCTCGGTGTTAAATACTTCTGTCCAGCACTCCACTGGCCTCTTGTCCCAGTCTCAGAGCAGGAAGTTTGACCAAGATCAACCATGGTAAGTGCCTGCCTGGGGGGCAGGGCAGCCTCCCCAGTGATGATCTGCAGTGAGACTTCCAGAAGCACCTTGTGTCTGAGCTTCCAAGTTTTACTGTCCTTTTCTTTCTCCTTAGACGACTTACAGCGACAAAGGAAAGAAGGTAAGTAGGAGGGGAAATGTGGGGTCAGGGCCCCAGGAGACAGGGATGTCAGCAAAGAGCAGAAAAGGAACTTCAGCGGGTATGTGATGTCCGAGATGCACACTCAGGCTCATCTCTCCAAAGAAAAACTTTACCTCTTCTTAAATTCCTGCTAATCTCTTAATCCTGTCTAGGAGTTCTTTCTAGATTTTTTATTTTTTCATGTGTAATCTCTACCCACACTGTGGGGCTCAAACTCACAACCTCGAGATCAAGAGTCGCATGCTCGGGGCGCCTGGGTGGCTCAGTTGGTTACGCGACTGCCTTCGGCTCAGGTCATGATCCTGGAGTCCCTGGATCGAGTCCCACATCGGGCTCCCTGCTCGGCGGGGAGTCTGCTTCTCCCTCTGACCCTCCCCCCTCTCATGTGCTCTCTCTCATTCTCTCTCAAATAAATAAATAAAATCTTTAAAAAAAAAAAAAAGAGTCGCATGCTCTACTAGCGGAGCTAGCCAGGTGACCCTGGAAGTTCCTTCTAAGGTCTAACTTAAATCTGTGTTGCTGTAGCAGACAGCAGTTCCACTCTGTGAAATCTGGGCGGGCCTCCCAAGGGGGCTTTCCGATCCCCAACATCCAGGAGCTTGACTTCTCCATTGGAAACCTCTTTTGAGGCTTGGCAAGGCTGCAGGGTGTTTGGCTTCTCAGTTTTGGAATTAAGGCTGGGACAAGGAGAGTGGTTAGGGGACACCTCTCCATCCACACTTTTCTAAACCCACTTCCAGAGACTTAGCTTCTCCCCTTCTCTCCTCCTGCAGCCTCAGAGAGGCCGATTCCTTCATTTCCACTCCGTGACCTTCTGGGTTGGCAACGCCAAGCAGGTAAAAGCTGGGGCCAGGTATTAGAGTGGGCAGAGGGCGGGCCAGAGGGCCTCCTGGACAAGGGTGGTTCCCTGGCTGGGCCTGTGATTGGCCGCTGTGTGGGGAGGATCAGAGCCAGCGTTGGGACCATCCCAGAAATACAGACGCTCTTTAGATCCTAATTACACAATCAGGGCCTCGGACCCCAGCAGGAAACCTATCTGGTGTCGGAATGGGCCAGGGAGCCGCCTTTCTTCCCAGGACGGACTCTGTCCCTGGGGCAACAGGGCAGCCAGGCCAACGGGGACTGGAGGCTTCAGCCGGGGCAGGGGGGTCCCCCAGGCTGGCCCTCAGGAACCCGGTGGCAACTCTCTGATTCAGGCTGCGTCATTCTATTGCAACAAGATGGGCTTTGAACCACTAGCCTACAAAGGCCTGGAGACGGGTTCCCGGGAGGTAGTCAGCCATGTGATCAAGCAAGGCAAGGTAAGTCCCCACCCCAGGACCCCACTCACCCAGGCCAGCCTCTCTGTCCCTGCTGGTCTCTGAGCCTCCTAAGGGCTCTGGTGCTTGTGGGCGAAGTAGACCAGGAGGCCCTTTCCCCAGGCCCACCTGGTTCTCTCCCAGGATGTCTGGTGAGGATAAGGGAGCATGAACTGAGAGCCCCCCCCAGCACCTCCTTTGGCACCTTCGTACAACAGACCACAGAGACCTTAGTCTCATCTCCTTCTCGGCCTGGCGCAACTCTGGCCTCACAGATGTTTGGGAGAAGTTGGCAGAGGCCTTAGACATCAAAGCTGAAAGTCTGACTAGTGCCCTGATCCCTGGGAATCCTGGGGCTCTCTCCCATGAGGGGGCTGTTGTTCATCTCAGAGGGGAAGCTGAGGCAGAGAAGGGGCTGGAACCCAGGGTCAAGGAGTCCTTCCTGGCTGGGAGGGGCGATCTGATCCGAATGCCCCACTGGGGTGTCTCACAGGTGGGTGGGGAGGAGGGGATGGGGGTGCACCTCCACATGCTGGCCTGAGCCACCAGCTACACCTCCTCTCTCCTCTCTGCCTTAGATTGTGTTTGTCTTCTCCTCCGCCCTCAACCCCTGGAACAAAGGTGAGGAAGCCCAGGGGGTTCAGGGTGCCAGGAAGTGAAGACATGCTATTGTGGGTTGTGGTTGGGCTCAGGGACTAGGGAGTGGGTCTGGTTCAGCAAGGGTTCCCCAGCCTAGAAGAAGATGGAGCCCAGAGGCTGACAGAGAGGTGAGGGAGCCATGACTCCAGCACCATGACCTCCCCTACCGGCCACAGAGATGGGCGACCACCTGGTAAAACACGGTGACGGAGTGAAAGACATCGCTTTTGAGGTGGAAGACTGTGACTACATCGTTCAGGTGAGCCCGCACCTGGGCTGCCCTCTGCCTGCCACGGGGAGCCCTGCGGGTCAGGGCTGGAGGACCCGCCATGTTGGAGTGACAAGCCCAGACATTGGTGTGATGCACACCCGAGTTCCAGGGATGCCCTGGCCCTTGCTAGCTGCATGTCCTCTCACTGAGCCTCAGTTTCCACATCTGTAAAACGGACAACCACAGCACCTACCTCACTGGATGGACACAGAGGACCTGAGACCATAATTACCACTTCTTGAGCACGACTCTGAACCAAACACCATATTCAAGAAGCAGCTTAGAGGTTCAGAGCATAGAAGCCAGAGGCCCACTGCCCAGGTCTGAATCTTATTATCTGTGAGACTTTGGGCAAGTGACTTAACTTCTCTGTGCCTATAGATCTCATCACCTATAGAACGGAGACAAGAACAGTACCTTTCCTGTAATGTTGCTGTGAGGAAGAAGGAGTTTGGTAAATACCTTCACCAATGCCTGACATGTGATAAGCATAGCCATGCAGTAAGGTTTCGCTACATAAAGGCATGAGCCATGCATGGAAGGCACCCCGCAGAGGGTCTGACACACAGCAGGTTCTCAGTCAATGGGAGGGGTTCTTCTATCCCACCGCCTGGTTTACAGATGGGGAAGTTGAGGACTGGAGAGGGGGAAGGGCCAGAGTGAGTTAGCAGAGGTGGGACACACGCCCACCCCCCCCAGTTTGTCTCTCATAGCTCCAACTCTGGGCCTGGGCCTCAGTTTCCCTATTTGCCAAACAGGCACAAGGCACGGGTGTCAGGGGCAACAGCTGAAGCCGGCTGTCATTCCTGCCTGGGTCTGGGAAAGCAGGATGAGCCTGTGGCAGGACGAGGCAGGACCACGGGGCAGCCAGCCAGGGTCCGGGAGGGTCCAGCACTTACTGCCTCCCTGACCCATCTTCTCTGCAGAAAGCCCGGGAACAGGGCGCCAAAATCGTGCGGGAGCCCTGGATAGAGCAAGATAAGTTTGGGAAGGTGAAATTGGCCGTGTTGCAGACGGTGAGTTCGCTTCGGTGCCCCTACCCCTCCTGCTGTCAGCTCCCCTGAGATGCCAGGATCCCCACCCCCATCCCCACCCCCACTCCCTCATGCCATCCCACCCTGGTGCCTTGAAGCAGACATTCTCCTCTAAGTCTCACTGCCTGTAATGCTTGGCCAGTGTGCAGAGGCTGATGGGAGCTACCAGTCCCCCCCTGATGCTTCCCTCCCTCCCCTGTGGACGGGGAGAGTGTGGGGGCAGGTGGCAATGACAACACAGGGGTGTAAACTGAGGACAAGGGCTTTGAAGAAGGGGGCGAGTGGGGTCTGGGGAAGACTTTGGGCAAAGCACTCCACCTCTCTGGGACTCTGTTTAAATGAGCAAGGACTGCAGCTGGTTTCTTCAACTATAACCCCATCCAGGGTCATTGCAAGGCTCAAGTGAGATCATTCCTGCACAGCGTTTAGAACAATGGTACCTGGTGTATCACAGACACGCAGCAAAGATTCCCAAGTCTGTGTTACTGTCATACAGAGATGACCACAGGTCCCACCTCCTCAAGGTTAAATACAACTTAAAGATTGTTAACATGATTGAAAAAAAAACAAAAACCTTTTTTTAAAAAAGATCTTGGGGTGCCTCAGTGGCTCAGTCGTTAAGCATCTGCCTTCGGCTCAGGTCATGATCCCAGGGTCCTGGGATCGAGCCCCATCGGGCTCCCTGCTCCACGGGGAGCCTGCTTCTCCCTCTTCCGCTCTCCCTGCTTGTGTTCCCTCTCTCACTGTGTCTCTGTCAAGTAAATAAATAAAATCTTTAAAAATAAATAGATAAGATCTTATTTTATTTTTTAAAGATTTTATTTATTTATTTATTGAGAGTGGGGAGAGGCAGAGAGAGAATCTCAAGCAGACTCTGTGCTGAGCAGGGAGCCCAACACGGGGCTTGATCCCACGACCCTGAGATCATGACCTGAACCGAAATCAAGAGCCAGTTCCTTAACCAACTGAGCCACCCAAGCGCCCCCTTAAGATTTTATTATTAAGTAATGTCTACACCCAACGTGGGGCTTGAACTCACAACGCCGAGATCGAGAGTCTCACACTGCACCGGTGGAGCCAGCCAGGCGCCCCAGAACCCTTTGATATAATTTGAGCCAGTGCCCTCATTATTCTCACTTAGTCAATACATTTGTACTGAGCACCTACAATGAGCCAGGCACTGTCCTAGATGCTGAGGATCCCATGATGAGCAAAACAGTGTCCCTGCCCTCACAGAGATTCCTGTCCCATGGGGCAGGCAGATGGTCAAAGAAAGTCCCAAACAAATGACAGACTGCAATTCATTTCAGAGAGGGGAAGTGACTTGCCCAAGATCACAGACAGAGTTAGGGTCAGACCCGGGGTGGAACCGTGTGGGCACCGGGAGATGTGGCCCTGTCTTGGCGGGGATGGGACCACAGGGGCCAAGCCTGGTTGTTTTCTACCCATAGTATGGGGACACCACACACACCCTGGTGGAAAAGATGAACTATAGCGGCCGGTTCTTGCCTGGATTCGAGACCCCAGCATCTGTGGACCCCCTACTTTCCAAGCTGTGAGTGCCCCTCGGGCTTCGGGGGGTATAGAAAGTCCTGAGGGTGGTGGAAAGCAATGCCCTGATCCTCCATGCAGACTGGGCTTCTCTGAGGGGCAGAGCATCTGGGAGGCTGCTGGGGGACTCCTGAGGGTCACTAAGGGGTGGCTTGAAGAGGCAACACAGAGGTTAAGCACCTAGGCTCTGGAACCAACTGCCTGGGCTCAAACCCCGGCTCTGTCATTTTTTTTTAAAGATTTTATCTATTTAAGAGACAGAGAGAGAGAGAGCATGAGCCAGAGGGAGGGGCAGAGGGAGTGGGAGAAGCAGACTCCCCGCTGAGCAGGGAACCCAATGCGGGGCCCAATCCCAGGACCCTGAGATCATGACCTGAGCCGAAGGCAGACGCTTAACTGACTGAGCCCCACAGGCGCCCTATGGCTGTGTCATTTTCTAGCTATTTAATCTCCGTATTTATTTTATTCTTCTCTGCCTCAGTTCCCCATCTGTAAAATGGGACTAGTAATAGCGTGCAAGTCAACACCAGTAAGGTGGCTCTAGAATATGCTATGTCACAGTGAGCGGCTACTGTGGGGAGGGGGAGATTTAGGAAGTAGCCCTCTCCTCACCTCCTGATGGCTTCCTCCCCCGAAAGGCCTAGCTGCAGTCTCGAGATGGTCGACCACATTGTGGGAAACCAGCCTGATCAGGAGATGGTGTCTGCCTCTGAGTGGTGAGTCCCTGGCTCAACCCCTCACTGCAAAGGAGACAGGTCCGCTCCCCAGTTCTTTTCTCGAGACACTGGACTGGGAAATGGAGCACAAGGGCGAGGGAGCTTAGCTTGATGCCCCTGAGTCATCTGTTCCCTGAGGATCAGAGCCTTTAAGGCTCAAAGGGACCCACGGGTCCTCCCTCTGAGGACCCTTGGGGAAGGTTGGCACAGAGGGCGTCACAGTCCAGGGAGACCTGGAGGAAGTCTGTCGCTACCCCAAACAGCGCCCTTGCGCAAATGAGAAGCAAGTGCCCTTCTCAAAGGGCACTTCTCTTGGTCGGACCCTTGCCATACCACACAGATCTTGTTACAAGACACTTCACGTCCACCCGAAGGAAAATGGTCAGAATCAAGGTACAGGCGTTCAGTGGGTATGAGGTGAATGGTGGTTCCTTTCTGGAGGCTGCTCAGGGGACAAATTCTGGAAGGTGGAAGTAGGGGCAAGGAGCCAGTCCCTGGCAGGCACACAGAGCCAACGTGTCCTTATGGCCACCCCACAGGTACCTGAAGAATCTGCAGTTTCACCGGTTCTGGTCTGTGGATGACACACAGGTGCACACAGAATACAGCTCTCTGCGCTCCATCGTGGTGGCCAATTTTGAGGAGTCCATCAAGATGCCCATTAATGAGCCAGCACCAGGGAAGAAGAAATCTCAGATCCAGGTGGGGCCTTCCCTGGACTCCGGGGGCCTGGCTGGGGAAGAAGAAAGCAGGGAAGAGCTTTGCAGGCACCTGAGGAGGCAGGAATATGGGCGACAGGAGCCAATGACCGTGTTTGCCTTGTTTCCCTCCCCCAGGAATATGTGGACTATAACGGGGGCGCTGGGGTCCAGCACATTGCTCTCAAGACCCAAGACATCATCACAGCGGTGAGAAGCTCATTCCTAGTCCTAATTCACCTTTCATCTAGCTCCAGAGCCAAAATGGAGGAGGGAGTGGAGGGCGGGTAGTGGCAATCCTCGGCCCCCTTGGCCATCCCAGATGGCTGACTGGGCTCTCTTACTGGTTCCTGCCACTCAAATGCAGGCACATTCCCACCCCAGAGAGTTCCCTTTCCCTGCTGGCTTTAAAAGTAGCAGGTGCCAGAGTAAAAGAGGAAGCCTGGATTCTAGTCCTAGTTCTCCAAGTGACTTGCTGTGTGTCCCCTGGGGGATTCAGCCCCCTCTCTGGGCTTCAGCTGCCTCACCTTGAAAATGAGGATATTAGGCTGCAAGATTGACTAGGTCCTTTGAGCCAAGTTAAATGCGCAGACTCTGTGGAACCAGCCTATTCCTAAGGCAGCAGTATATCAAAGTGGACACGAGCCTGACTGTCCCTTTCCGTCCTGGCCTAACCAAGAATTCACTGCATGACCTTGGCAATTTCACCCATTCATTCACCCACTCAGTAGATGTGTACTGGGCACCTACTATGTGTATCGGGCACCCTTTTAGGTACTTGGGATACATGAGCAGACAAAACAATAGTCTCTGCTTTAGTGAAGGCATAAAACAAAACAAGGAAGATACATGTGCTAGATGGTGTGAGTGCTCTGGAGGAAAACCAAGCAGGGCAATGGGAGAGGGAGGGTGAAGGACACTGCACATTTAAACAGGGCGGTCACGAAAGGCCACATTGAGAAGGAGACATCTGAGAACACAGAGTTGGAAGGAGGGAAGCATGTAGACAACTGGGAAACGTGCCCCGAGAGTAGAAGCGACAGGCAGGGCAGAGGAAGGCTGGAGGCACAGCAAGGAGATCAGTGTGGCTGGAACAGAATGAGCAAGGACGAGGGGGTAGGAGGTGAGGTAGGAAGGTGGGAGTGAGGACAGATGGTAAGGGCTTTGAATGTGACTCTGAGACAAGACACCACTGTGGGGTAAGCAGAGGAGTGGCGTGATTTGACCTGTGTTTTTAAATAAAATCACTCTGGCTACAATGTTGAGAATAGATATTTAATCTCTTGATGCCTCAGTTTCTCCAACTATGAAATGGGGATAATAATTGTCCAGATACCTCAAAAAGTGACTGCATGGACATAATGAGGCAATACACGGAAAGTGCTTGGGAGGCAGGCACATGATGAGAATTCGGTAAACGTGAGCGATGGCTGTTCTTCTAACCGGGCCCACAAGGGGACTGGCAGGCAGGGGAAACTAGGATAGGACTCTGCCTCCTCCTGGCTAGTGGTGTTGAGCATGGAGAGAGGAGGAGACTGACCTTGACCCTTCCTTGAGACAGATTCGCCACTTGAGAGAGAGAGGCATGGAGTTCTTGGCTGTTCCACCAACGTACTACAAACAACTTCGGGAGAAGCTCAAGTCGGCCAAGATCCGAGTGAAGGAGAGTATTGATACCCTGGAGGTGAGGCTAGTGCAGGATCCTTGAGTTTGAGCTGGGGACAATGAGCCCTGAGTTCCATCTCGCCTCACAAACACTGTCTATGCGCCTACCCTGAATTAGGCATTGGGACACAGAAGGAAAACCAGACCAGGTCCCCACGATCATGGGACTTGCAGTCTGGTGGGGAGATAGATGACAGGCAAATAAATAAATAATAACACAAACACCATCGGAGAGTTGATGCTGTGGAGAAAGTTAAAACAGGCTACGACGGAGAGTGACCTGGGGCTACTTCACCAGAGGTGATCTGGGAGGGCCTCTCTGAGGAGTTGACTTTTCAGTGAACTCTAAACAATCAGCGGGAGATGGCTGTGTGAAGCTAGGGGAAGGACAGTCCTGGTGAGTCAGGAGCAAGCTCCAAGTGTCTGAGGAACAGAAAGAAGGCAAGAATGGATGAAAGGAAGTATTTGAGGACTGGCCTAGGTCACTGAGATAGGCAGGGGCTGATTCCTCTTATAGCCTCTTTAGGAGTTTGGATTTTGTTCTTCTGTGGCCAGACACCACTGGAGGATTTTGTTTTGGTTTGGTAGTGTTTTGTTTTTGTTTTTAACAGCCTCATTGATATAAAAGTCACATAACATATAAGGCACTCTTCTAAAGTTTTTTTTTTGGCAGAGAGAGAGAGACACACACACACACACAGCGAGAGAGGGAACACAAGCAGGGGGAGTGGGAGACGGAGAAGCAGGCTTCCCACTGAGCAGGGAGCCCGATGTGGGACTCATCCCAAGACCCCGGGATCATGACCTGAGCCGAAGGCAGACGCTTAACTACTGAGCCACCAACGTGCCCCTAAAGCAGTCTTTTAAATTCAGGGCACCTGGGTGGTTCAGTCAGTTGAACGTCTGCCTTCGGCTCTGGGCATGATCCTGGGGTCCCGGGATGGGATCAAGCCCCAGGTCGGGCTCCCAGCTCAGCAGCTCAGTGGGGCTCCCTGCTCAGCAAGGAGTCTACTTCTCCCTCTCCCTCTGCCCCTCCCCCCACTCCTTCTCTCTCTCTCAAATAAATAAAATCTTTTAAAAAAACTTTAAAAAAATATAGGGCGCCTCGGTGGCTCAATTGGTTAAGCGACTGCCTTCGGCTCAGGTCATGGTCCTGGAGTCCCGGGATCGAGTCCCGCGTCAGGCTCCCTGCTTGGCGGGGAGTCTGCTTCTCCCTCTGACCCTCCCCCCTCTCATGCTCTCTCTCTCTCTATCTCATTCTCGCTCTCAAATAAATAAATAAAATATTTTAAAAAATAAAAACTTTAAAAAATAAAGTGCACCATGCAGTGGTTTTTAGCTATTCATTATGTTGTGCAGCTATCATCAAAATCAATTTTAGAACATTTTAATCACCTGAAACTTCACACCCTTCATCACCTCCCAGTCCCTCCATTACCCGCCCCCCGCCCCGCTCCCTGCAGTCCTAGGCAAGCATTCATCTGTCTTCTGTTTCTATAGATTTGCCTATTCTGAACTTGTCATATAAATGGAATCATGCACTATGGGATCTTTTGTGTCTGGCTTCTCTCACGGAGCATCATGTTTGCAAGGTGCATCCAGGTTGTAGCAGGTGTCCGCGCTTCCTTCCTCTTTGTGGCTGAATCATAGCCCATTGTGTGGGTATATCACATTTTTCTTATCTATTCATCAGTTGATGGACATTGGGTTGTTTCCGCTTTTTGGCTATTACTGTGAGTAATGCTGCTGTAATCATTCGTATACAAGTTTTTGTGTGGACCTGTGTTTTTAATTCTCTTGGGATTATACCTAGGAGTGGAACTGCCAGGTTATAGGTTATAGGTAACCCTATGTTTAACCTTTTGAGGAATCGCCAGTTTTCTCCCGGGGCTGCAAGCATTTTACATTCCACCAGTAACATAGGAGGGTTCTGATTTCCACTGGAGGACTGTAAACAGGGGAACGACATGATCTGATTTTTAAAAGATCCCTTGGGGTGTCTGTGGGGAGGATAGATTGTAAAGAGGCAAGAGGGAAGCAGTGGGACCTGTGCAGAGACCACTGGGGTGGGTGATCCAGGACAGCCTTGACGGTGGCTTGCACACGGACTGTGGCGGGCAGGTGGTAACAGGAGAATTTAGGGATCTATTTGGGGGTGTCTGGAACTGCGGGAGAATGGGATCTTTTCTTGACTTTCGGGTGCAGGAGCTCTGACGGGCTTTCTAAAGACTCCACCGTGCCCGACTGGAGTGTGGGCCAGCCGCCCCTCTAACCCAGCCTCCTGTCTCCTACCTAGGAGCTGAAAATCCTGGTAGACTACGACGAGAAAGGCTACCTCTTGCAGATCTTCACCAAGCCCATGCAGGATCGGCCCACGCTCTTCCTGGAAGTCATCCAGCGCCACAATCACCAGGTACGAGCTATTCCCGACAAGCCCCCGAAGCCAGGCAGGGTAGCACGGTGGGCTTTCTCTAGACCCGCAGCTCACCTTCTTCTCTCTCCCGCTCCAGGGTTTTGGAGCCGGCAACTTCAACTCACTGTTCAAGGCTTTCGAGGAGGAGCAGGACCTGCGGGGCAACCTCACCGACTCGGAGAACACCCGGACCCTGCCGGGCATGTAGGCCCTGACGGCCCGGCGGCCCCACCGTGGCCCCACCGTGGCCCCGCCCACCCGCCGGCGTGCGGTGGGCCACGCCCTCAGCCCTGGAACACGCCCACCCCACGGACCCCGAACTGCAAGCCTTCCTTACTGGCCACTCCCTCTAGGCCCCGCCCACCAGCCCGGTACACCCAGGCGCTGACCACGCCCCCCTCGCTTGGGCCCCTCCCTGCTCCCGCCCTCCGGAATAAAGCGGACCGGGGTCCTGTGAGAGGTCTTGGTGTTTGCGCCGTGCTGGGGCAGTGACGCCCCTCGGCCTGCAGGGGGAGCTCAGGGCCGCAGCACTGCAGGAGGCGTCCGCGTTCTTGCTTCGGAGCCAGGCCCAAGCCCGGGAGGCGCCGAGTGCAAGCGTTTTGCTAAGTGGGACCGCGCCGGTCAGGGAGAATTCTGGAACCAAGGGGTGCGGAGGGCTGACACGCTAGAGGGGAAGACAGTATCATTTCACAGAGGGTTATGAAGATAAAGCGGTGATGATGAGATTGTGTGAAGGTAAAACTGGGAGGGGTGCTAATTTCGGTGGAGAGAAAGCCCCTCTGGAGAGAGGACATTTGGGAACTAGCCACGGAAAAACCTGGGGAAAGAGCATACCCAGGAAGGGTAGTAGGCCTTGAGGTGAAACCGTGCTTGGCAGCATCCCGTCTGATGGCCTTATGATATCTCCCCAAGTTTGCTGCTCTGCGCCCAAACTTCTGGGCATGGGAGAGAGGAAGGTGTTAGCCAAGGAACTTCGGGGCACATCCCTGCTCAGCAACCTAGGGACATGGTTCCTGGTCTGAGAAGTAGAGCAGGTGTGTGTGTGTGGGGGGGTGGCTCTGAGCCCCTCAGCTTCTGCCCTCGAGTTTTAAAAACTGGAGAAAGGAACTGGGGGTAAATTGGGTCTCTTCTGCTTCTGATACTTGCCCAGCCCTTCCTGCGGGTCAGTCAGCTCAGAACCCGGAGCAGGCGGACCTGAGCATAAGGAAAAATTCTAAGTTGGTACAATAGAGGAATTTGGGGATTCCCCCCGCCGCAGATTATAGAAGTCAGGGTTTCTGGGATCATGAACTTAAGAAATGAAAAGAATAGCAGTGAGAAGCCAGAGGAACAATGACAACCCCAGTTAAAAATACCCTCCCTCCACTTTCCCATGGCTTATGCAAAGCAGAGAAATTCTGTATCTCAGAAGGTTGCAAACTGGTGGCTCACGGACCAAATGTGGCTCACAGATGTATTTTATTTAGTCTATATAGTTTTAAACAAATGTGAGTCATCATTTCAGAAAGTTGGGATACTTCACATACAAATTCTAGGATTCTGGTTCTTCTTGGAAGAACCAGGCCATTCTGGGCTTGCCTTCCTATGCAGTAACAATCAGCTGGTGCCAGGTGGTGGGTGCCTCCTTAGACGGGACATGGGCAGAGCAGACCCTCATTAGCTGAGCACGGGCTAGGGAGCAGGATTGCCTGGGTTCATACCCCAGATCAGCTACTTGCTAGCTGTGTGACCTTGGGCAAGCTACTTGACTTCTCAGTGCCTCAATTTTCCTTACCTGTTAAATGAGGATGGTAACAACACCCACCTCCTAGCACTGCGGTACGTTTAATAGATGTTTTAAAACAGTGGCCGGGGGGCGCCTGGGTGGCTCAGTTGGTTAAGCGACTGCCTTCGGCTCAGGTCATGATCCTGGAGTCTTGGGATCGAGTCCCACGTCGGGCTCCCTGCTCGGCGGGGAGTCTGCTTCTCCCTCTGACCCTCCCCCCCTCATGCTCTCTCTCTCTCTCTCATTCTCTCTCTCTCTCTCAAATAAATAAAATCTTTAAAAAATTAAAAAATAAAAAATAAAACAGTGGCCGGCATGATGTCAGGGCTATGTGTTTGCTCTTGTTATTTTGGGAGAGGGGCCTGGGTGAGGGGTCTTGCCCAAGTCTGCCTGGCACTTCCTTCTCCCCACCCCACCCTGGCCTACATGCAGATGGCTCAAGTTGGGGCTCCCTTTTTGGCCCCCACAGCAGGACCAGAGAAGAAAGGGCTTGTCCTATGGGACTGAGGGGGCAGAGGGAGAGGTGGATAGATTTGAAGAATAAGGGAGAAGGAGAACCGTCTGACTTGGTAGTGGAGGGAAAAGGAGAGGTTGGGGGTTTCTAGGGTTTGAGTTTAGGTAACCAGCCGCAGCAGTGGTGGGCGGAGGGGCCGAATAGAAGTGCCATTGACCAAGGTGGAAATTACAGCAGGAGGAGCAGGTCCAAGAGGGAAGATGAAGGAAACTCAAATTTGGATGTGTGTTTCCTTTCTGCGCCTTGGGCTGGATGCCCTGGTTGTCCTCATGTGGCCCTGCAAGGCCCCACAGCACCTGCCTCCCCCACCCCCACTCGGGACCTCTCAGACCTCATTTCCTTTACTCCCCCCTCCCTCATTCAGCTGCAGCCACTCAGACCTCCGGACCTCCGTGCTGGTCCTCAATTACACCAGGCGGCTTTAGCCTCAGGACCTTTGCACTCACGGTTCCATCTGCCTTCAATACCCTCCCTCCAGGTGTCCACGGGGCTGATCTCCTTTGAGTTTTGTTCACATGTGGGCTAAGCAGACTTCCCTGACCACTGTATTTAAAATCTCACCCCCTCTCAACTGATACCCCTTCTCATAGCTAATTTTCTCCTTCTCATAGCGTGTGTTCTTCACGTTTGCCTGGCTCACAAGAACACAATCACCAAGACAGGGGGGTGTCTTCTCCACTCCTGTATCCCCAGTGCCTAGACAACCGTCTGACACATGGTAGGTGCTCAACAATATTGGGTGAATGAACAGAATGGCTAGCAGCTGCTCTTTTCTCTTTCCTGGCTCAGTCTCCCCCTCAGCCTTTCCTGTCCCCACGAATCCACCTTCAGGGGTGTTCACCTGTCTGGATGCACAATTCCGAATAGCAGCCCACCACCAAGGGCATGTCCCCTGCCTTCACAAGTGAGGCTGCAAAGAACATCTGTGTACGTATTGTTGCCTGCTTGTGGCTGTCGGGCTCGATTCCAGGCAGCGGAACATTTGGGCTGGAAGTTCATGAGCATTTTTAAACTGTTAATATCTAATGTTTCCTCCTGAAGGTTGTGGCAACTTAAGCTTACACTGATGATGCCCAAGTGCCCCCCGCCCCATGCCGGCCAGCACTGGCTATTTTGTGGTGGAATTTGCATGTCCCTGGTAAGAAGGGAGGTCAGGCATTTTCTCAGTCATGCTGCTTATGGCTGGGGTTTGGCGTCTGTCCTTCTCAGGGGCAAGTGGACAACATCTAACCAACTCTCCATGGGCCCCATGGCTACCCCACCACTGGATCAGGCAGAGTTGAGACCTACGGGGCACAGAAGCTCTGGAATACCACAAACACTAGATTCACTTAATGCTTCTTCACTTGTGGCTCTTTTTTCAGTCCCTTCCCCCTCAAATGCAAACCAGAGGGCTGTCTCCTGAAAACGAGTGGTGAGCATCTTTGAGGTACCACCTTTCCAACTTCTTCCCGTGAGAGCAATAGGATATTTGAGCTTGTTTCCTAATTGCAAACCTTTAGCAGTGTTAGACCTAAGATTTTAAGAAAAGTTGTAGAAGCAAAACTGAAAAGCAAAAAAACCTTGAGGGGCGCCTGGGTGGCTCAGTCGTTAAGCATCTGCCTTCGGCTCAGGTCGTGGTCCCGGGGGCCTGGGATCGAGCCCCGCATCGGGCTCCCTGCTCCGCAGGAGGCCTGCTTCTCCCTCTCCCCCTGCTTGTGTTCCCTCTCTCGCTGTGTCTCTCTCTGTCAAATAAATAAATAAAATCTTTAAAAAAAAAAAAACACAAAAAAACCTTGAAAGGTCTAGTCTGTAAGTTGGCCCAGTTCACATAATCCACCTGACAGGCTCAGAGTTTAAGAACCACCAAACTGAGTGGAGCATACCACACCTAGCTCCTTCTACCCGGAGCCTAGCCAGGCCACCCTCCCTGTGAGCCGTGTGTGCCCCGTCAGAAAGAGAGGAGGAGGAGAGGGAGAGAGGAGAGCAAGAGAGATGGCGTATCTGTAAGAAAAGTCAGTATATTTATGGTTTGCTTTATAAAAGTTACTATAATACAATGGTACATAGTATTGAATTCACAAAAATATGAACAAATATTTACAGCAAGACACACCCACAACGGAAACACTTCTCTTCAAAACAAGTTACATACGGATGACAGAGTCTATATGCACAAACATCCCTAAAACTTATGGGTTCTCTTCTTTGCAGGAGGAGAGAGGCAGGGAGGGAGGGACAAGAAAAAAAAAAAAAAAAAAGGCAGAAACCCCCAGCTTTTCAAAAGCAAACATTTGTTCAATGAAAATGAAGGTATTGAAAGAAAAATGAGCCATGTTTCTGGATATGGCAAACCATTTTGGGGGTGGGGCGGGGGTTCCTGGGGACAGGGAGGGTGCAGCCCCTCGCCGCTTGGGCAAGGTGAGGCCAGGGTGAGGGGTGAGGCTGGCCCCCAACCCCGGTTTCCTCACATCCCCCTCCACTTCTTCTCGGGGGAGAGGGGTGAGAATGAAGGCAGCCCCTTGGGGGCTGCACAAGGAACTTAAATCAACCATCTCTACAAACTACACATTTCCTCATGTGAAAAATAAATTATTTCCTCAGTTGCACAATTAGGCAGAAAACCGCAAACGGAAGAGAAGGTTGCCGCTGTGCCCGGGTCCCTCCTCTGTGTCTTAATGCCACCGATTTCATCGACCTTGAAACCTTGAAATTGGTGGGCACAATCTCAAACAGGGAGGGCATGGGGTAAAGAAATTAAAAAAAAAAAAAAAACACAACAAAACCACCAACGACAAAAAAAAAAAGAGAAAAATAACAATTCTTTGTACAGAATTTACATGATAACAAGCTTGACACAAGCTGAAGATACCAGAGGCTCCGGGCCTGGGCCTGCATCCTCAGGGTGGGGGCGGCCTGCTGGGAGCTCTCCCGTCTGGGTGAAGATGACTCCTGGTCACAACAGTCACTTTCCAGAAATTATTTACATGCCTGCTCTGCTTTCTGGGGTGAGAGGGACTTGCTTTGTGTGTGTGTGTGTATGCGTGTGTGTGTGCGCGTGTGTGTGTGTGAGTGAGAGAGATTTTTGGAAATACAAAGAAATGAGCAAAAAAGTCTTCCCACATGTTTCTACAAGAAACAATGTTCCCGAGAAAAAGTCCTTTATGGCAGCCTATATACAGAAGTTGGTTCTGAACTTCAAAAACCTATTTCTTCCCTTCGTTTTGATTTTATATATGCACAGGAAAAAAAAAATCCATGGAAATAAACCCTGAAGAGGATGATGGGAAGGGGGTAAAAAAGGTTAAGGGAAAAAAACCCAAAAAACCTGTCAGACTTAGATCTGAGTTTTAAAATCTTCTCCAAGATTTTCCTTTCTCTGGGAGAATCATCTTCTCACTCCA